TCGTGCCTGGGGCCTCTACTAGGAGGACAAGTGCCTGCTGGGGCTGGGTGCCCTCAGAGCCGGGCCCTCCGGGAGGCCTGACCCAGGGTGGGACAGTGGGCAGGGCCCCAGGGAATGGGCAGGACTCTGGGTGTGGGAGGGCAGTCACTGCACCTCTGTGTGCCTTGTGGGTGTGGGGCAGCATGAGCTGCGGGTGGCAGATGGCTGGGCACCTGGGAGGACACGGAAGCACAGAGGGCACGGGAGTGGCCCAGTGGGCAGGGGGTGGGGGACAGCGCTGCCCTGGGGTGCCCAGAGACGAGCCAGCAGGCACAGGCAGAGAGTAAACAGGCCGAACACTGGAGGGTCGGGAAGTCCGTCCGTTAATCTGGCACGACACCGCGATGGGTCATGTCTGCACCCTGGGCTCCAGGCATCCAAGCTCATCGACGACGCTACACCTCACCCCACACTCAGACTCTGGTCGCCTCGACCACTTCGCCACAAACTCCACAAGCTCTTGTTTTTGTTTGCTTCCTTGGATGAGAGATGCCTCCTGTACAGAACTGGCTTTTGGAGGTTTTCTGGGAAAGAAGAAAATTCTACACAGGAAAGACTGGTCAGTCGCAGGTGGGCGGGCACTCCCCGAACTGCATCTGTGCTCCGCGTCCTGGAGAAAACAGACTCTCGGCTGGACGCTGAGCCCGTGACTCCACAGGCGGCAAGGAGGATGCGGCCTCACTTGTGGCACTTACAGAAATGGCGGCCGCGCAGCAGGGGGGCCCCGAGGGCACGAGGTGGCGGTCCCCACCCACTGAGCAGCAGCGGCCCCGGCCATCGACTCCCTCGCAGCCCAAAGGGCCCCATGGCTCAGGAATCGCACCATCCGCCCCAACGCCCTCCCGTGAGTGCAGGAGCCCAGGCCTGCTCTCAGCTTGGAGGGTGCCCCTCCTGCCCTGGACCCCGGTCCCGAGATTTCTGTGACCCCAAGCAGGGCGGTCCTGCGCCAAGGTGGGGCCTGAGGCCGCTGGGTGAGGAGTCAGCACAGGCCTGCGTGCTGAGTCAGGGGCCTCGGTCTGGACAGCCTGCTACCCCTGCAGGAGCTGGCGGCAGGGCCCGCCCACCCAGGGCCAGCGAGCAGCCTGCTCACGAGGGAGGATCACAGGACTTTCCACGAAAGCAGCTCTGCAGGGTTGCCGGGCGGGACCACGGGGAACCTCAGGACCATGAGGCACAGCCTGGAGTGCCCAGCACGACCCAGGGCCTGCTTCCCACTCGGCGGGCCCCGGACCGGACGTGAGCTCATGCCCCCCGGGCCCCTCTGGCCGCTCACCGTACTCAGGCCGCAGGTGCTCAGGGATGCAGGGCTCATACCCCTCCTTCTCCGGGACCTCCACGAAGTCCTCATCCTCGTCCTGGTCCTCGTCCCCGGGGGCCGCCTTCTGTGGAAACCCCCAGATCTGTGTGAAGGAACCGCAGGCAGAGCCCCAGGACCCCCAGTCCTGCCCCTGTGTATTTCCTCCAGGCTGGGGTTTAGCAGCGACCACGAGGGATGTGCCTATTGTCATCTCCCGCCTGCTCCCTCCCTAAATCCTCCGCCAGCTGTCCCCATGAAATGCACGGAGGGGACAGCCTCAGCCCCCTAGAGCCCGGGGTAATGGCAGGGCCTGAGATGCTGGCCCTCCTTCTAGCTCCAGCCAGGCCTATCCACCTAGGCCTCCGCTGGTGCCGGTGTGACCACAGCACTTCCGGAATATTCTGTCTCTAAAATGACTTGTTAAAAAGCCACCGAGCAAAAGCTTTCTCCAGACAAGGCTGCCCTCCCCGCCCACTCGGCAAGACACGGGCACCTGTGCCACCCCTGGGGGGCCCAGAGGCCTGAAAGAGCCCCTGCCCCCAGCCCAGGGCCCTAGAACTTCTCCGCCCTCTGCCCCCATTTGCTTGCTGGGCACCGCCTAGCTTAGTGGGTGCAGCAGGGACCCTGAGCATGAAGGGCTTACCTCATGAGGGCAGAGGGCCCCCAAAGGGCAGGGCGACCGATGGCCACACATACTCACCAGGCACCAGGGCCGTGTAGAGCGGGAATTACGTGTCAGCAGCCCTCCCTGCTCAGACCCTGACGCATGGCACCCCTCTGGGCCAGCTCAGCCTCCTGCTCCCCAGCCTTCTCACCCCACATCCTCAGCAACCCCCAAGGGGACCTGTCTTTCCAGAGTAGGAAGGCACTGGGAACTCTGCCCTATGGCCAACCCCAGCTGAAACACTTGGGGCCCCTTTCTGCCTCTGGCCCACTCAGATCAGCAGGGGCTTCTGCCCCAAGAACCCACCGCAAGGAGATACCCAGAGAGGTGACCCCTGCAGAGTCCATACCAGCTGCGGCTGTAACCCTCTGATGCACGCACCCCCTCCCAGAGTCCACTCACACTGTGGCTCGGAGACCCGAGGTGGCCGCCTGGGCCCGCTGACCCCTGGGGAGGAGGCCAGCAGGCACCGCCCCCGCCGACAGTCACTGCAGGGCCAGGGGTGGCCGCCAGCCCAGGCCTGGCTAGCACGCCGCCCACCAACCCGGGACCCAGGGACCCAGGAAGCCACAGAGGAGCTGCCCTAATCAGATGCAAATACACTGTGCTCGCACGGCTCGTGGTGAGTCTGGGAAGCACGGAGACATTAATCACTGGAAACTGTAATTTTTGTTATCAGTCTAACACTGATCAAAAGGGAAGCCTGTCTCCGCCGCTGACCTGTGAAACGTCCCAATTATACTCTTTGGAAATGACAGGGGCACTTAACTCCCGAGCCGGGCAAATGGCGACGATCAATCACGTTTGAATAACAATGAGCCGCGGACCTGAAAATTATTTTTGTATAGAATCTACCCAGGAATTTATGAAAGGTGGAGAGCAGCCCAAGGTTTTCGGGCATTACGGTCCTGGCTTGTGCAGCGCGTATCAAACACTAAACAGAATTTATGTGTTTTAATTTTCTAAAAGGTAGCTGTGGACTGGGTGCTACAATGCATAACATACAGTGCCAGCTTTTAAATATGGGGGTCGTTTTCATAAAATATTATGCTTATTGTCCACACCCTTGAATTTCCCCAGGGACTTTTACTGAATTTTCATTTCCTCCAAAATACTCAGCTGCTCTGCTAACTATCAGGAATTATACCTTCTTTCCCCCCAACCAAAGTTGTTTATCCCTGTGATTAAATACAGAGCCCCGGCTCCCTTGTCCTTAAATTAGCGCTGACGAGGCCACACACGTGTCCAGAAGGGCTGTCAGGCCCACTGTCGCCTGGTCCCTGGCCCGGCCTCCAGGCACAGCTCTGCCAGGAACAACCCCAGGGCTCCCAAGCAGGTGCCACCGCGGTGATCACTCCCACACTCGCATCTCCCGCTCCTTGGCAGCTGGGGTGACCCCTCAAACGACGGCAACACAGAAGCAGGGACGTCATTGCTAACACCGCACTCAAGCTTGAACGCACGAACCGTGGGAAAAGGGCAGCAGCACCTGGTGTCTGGAGACACAGGTGTCCTGTGGCCGCGACACCGGGCAACCAAGTGCCTGTTCAGAGGGAGGAAGCAACCCACCAGCCAGGCCAGACAGGCCTCCCAGGCCCTGGAGGAGCATGTGGCTGGAGAAACTGAGGCCGCAGGGAAGACTCCACCGAGCACACTGAAGGGCCCGCCCAGGGCTCCAGGGCAGTGCGGTGGCAATTCCCTCAAGGTTCAAGGGCACAGATTGGGTCAAAAGGCAGCACTGGGTGCGGGTAGGGAGGCGCTGGGGGCAGAGCAGGGCCGTGTGGACGCTGCCAGGAGCTGGGAAGGTGGTCACCGGCCCAAGGAGGAATCGGTGAAGGTGGGCAGCTTTCAGCGTGGGGTCAGACTAACTGCTCTCGGGAGCCGTCTGCTGGGAGCTGGGCTTCCCAGTCCTGATGAAACATCACAGAATACGCTGGGGAAACCAGCCCCACCCCTCACCTGGGGGCCCAGAGGCCCCACCAAGCCCGCCTGCCCAGGGCCTGCGCCCACCTCCCTAACAAGTGAAGACCTTGGGGCCTGGGGGCCGGAGGCTCTGGGAGAGGCCAGCCCCCTGGACTGAAGCCTCCAGAGGCGGCCCCAGGCCTCCCTCCGGTTTCATTCAAATAGATTCTCACCCACAGTTAAAAGGATTTAGAAAAATGAGGTTCTGTGATCATAATTAAACAGGCAACAGAACGGCTAAAATATACAATGTAATCAGTTTACAGAAGCAGGTAGCGGGATGCTAATTACCAGAGGAGGCTGGGAAGAGCCGCCTCCCAGGTCTGCAGGCCGGGGCGGACTGAGACATGGCTGGACCACTCAACAAATCCCGCGCGACCTGATTAAGTCGGGGCGCCATCTCCATTGCTTTCCACCCAAGAAATCACTTTTGTTCAGTTTTATGTGTGTCTGTTTCCCTTTTCTAAAAAAATGATGTAAGGCCTCGTCAGACAAGTGAGCTCAAAGCTGCATTTGTCTCCGCGGCTTGATGGCAACGCATTTAAAACCCCATTCTATCTTATAAACTAAAAATTAAACGTGCTCAGCTGTGGTGGTCGTCGCCACGGCTGCTATTTATATGCTAATGCCCTCCCTGGAAGGCCGCGCAAATCGCCCAGCCCAGCCAGTATCTCATGTGCATCTCTGCAGTGGGCGCACCTCAGAGGGCAGAGGATGGACGCGACCACGCAGGCACTGGGGACAGCACACACGGGGGTCTGGGATCCAGGGCAGCCAGGCACCTGGCCCAGAGTGGCCGTCATAGCGGGATGGAGGCTTGAAAAGGCCAAGCCCTGGGAGCTGCTCGGGGGTGCACAAGGAGGCCACTGCCGCTCTGGGTCAGCTGGACGTCTGGACGTGTTTCTAGGCCGAGGCTGGGTGGCCTGAGTCTGTGCTGCACCCAGATGAGCAGCTCCCTCTCCCCCGGGTGCCCCCACCAGGCCTCACGGCTGGATTCCCGTAAGATGCGGCCTCAGTGCTGCCAGTGTGAGTGGACGCAGAGCGGGGGCACTGCCTGCACCTCCTGTAACCGACACCACATCCTGCGGGGCTGGCTCTCAGCCCTGGTTGCTGCCCCAACGACTACCATGCCCTCCTCCACAGCTAGACCTCCTAGGGTTCCTGGTGTGGCAGCCTGGCCTCAGTGGGAAGGTTCACAAACTCCCCCAGACTCAGTCTTCTCATCTGTAAAATGTGGGTGAGAACAGAATCTCCCCACAGGCCTGATTTTGCGATTATGGGAACCACATGTGAACAGGTTCAGAGGAGAGGGCCATCCTGGAGGATGCTGGGCGGATACGCTGTGGAAGCACACAGGGGCTGCGGGTGGAGAGGGTGGCCCCCAGCAGCTGAGAGCTCCTCCCGAGAACACGGGCAGACCCCTCCCCCAGCTCCAGCCCTCAAGTGCGGCCTTCAGCGTGAAGGTGATGGAGGGAGCGCGTCACCAGGAAGGTTGTTTACTGGCCCTGCTCAGTACAAGGTCCTGCCGGTCGGTTGGCTGATTTAGCTTTCCTGCCTCTCTGGGTGCCCGATGGGTCAACATTTCATTCCCTGGGTTCCCGCTCTCCTTTTCACCTGCAGGCAGCCAGCACTCGGCCCCAGCAGTCAGAAATGTGTCCACTGTGGGGAGCTGCCTTGCTTCCACCTCGTGCTGGTGGCGGACCCCGCGCACCACCCAGGTGCATGGGTTGGGAGGTGGTCCGAAAGGCAGCAGGCAAACAACAGAGAGACCTCTCCCAGAGTCCAGAGGCTCAAGCTCTGTCTGCTTTTGCAGAGAGCGAGGGTGTGCTTGAGCTAAAACCCCGTGGCTGCCACACCAGCCCAGCTAGTGAGAAGGGGCGTCCATGCAGGCAGCACGGCGTGGAAATGTGTAGCCCAGCGAGCAAAACGCCCATGCCGCCAACAGCTTGAACAGACTGGTGCTCAGATTTTTTTTCTGACTTACTGGTTGGTGGGAAATTAGTATTTTGTTAACTACACGATATGAAGTAAGTGGTCTTTGCTCTGTAATTAAACAGCAGGCAATTAAAAAGTTCTGAAAGGATTTTTATCAGTTTAATGAACATAGCAGCCTCCGATCACTACACGTCTCCTCTAACCGTGGGGCTGCAAACTAAATCCACCAACCAGTGCTCCGTATTGACCTGGTGAAGATTTATCCCCGACCACGTCCGCAGGGCACTGGGCAGACCCTCCATAAAACAAGCAGTCACACACACTAAAACTGGCTGAAATGTTCTTTGAGGACAAAACACCGAAGTCAGAAGGAAACAGCGTAGAAACAAGGCACCAAAGACAGAAAAGGGGAATCGCAAAAAAGGCACGTCGGCAGGCGGCCGCGGGGAGAGCACGCCGCACGCCTTCGGCGCGGCGGGGCCACCTGTGTGCGCAGGGCCGTCACACCGCGCTCCAGGCGTC